AATGTAGTCGTATTTCCGCGCGTTCTAAACAGACCTTCCACATGTCCACGGCTCGAACGAAATATGCTTCTAACTCTTTTGTCCGTAGATCTTGTAGGTTGTATGATGCTAAGTTCTCTAATGCTGATATCTTTTGCTTGTCACTTGTAGCATATAGAAAAGCTGTTTTGGAGTGTTTATAGGGTGATTTGGCCCGATAAGTGTTGTAGTTTTATAGTGTGAGTTAATGTATAAAATGATATGTGCGTATTGTGTTGCTTTTGTTTTTTTTTTGTAATTTAAATTTCTAAATTTCTCTTCTTGTTCACTGTCTACTTATATGTGATTTTGATTGTGGAAACATATTTGGTTATTGTTTTAGCTATTTTTTTTTTTAAATATTGTATGTTTGTATTGTACTGTTTGTTTCCCAAATAAATAAATAAATAAATTACGAGTATTCAAGAGTCTGGTCAACTTCGGAGCGTTGTAAAACCCAGATTAATTAATAAAATTTGTAATGAAAATTATTCGTTAAAAACCGTTTTTGTATTATAAAATAACCAGAAAAAAGATATAACGCCCAAAACTTCATAAATTTTCAGTTATTGCTTATAATTTTTTGTTTCCATTTTACAATAAAAAGTAATAGAAATAAAGTTGTAGAAAATTTTATGTGAAACAAATAATGTTTTTGAAACAGGGTTGCTTTCTACAGGGTTGCTAGATTACGAGGCACAGCGCGAAAACCGTTTGCAGCCCTTTTGCCAGGACGGCGGCCCCACAAAGGAACTTTAGTACATAATATATACTAAACTAATAAACAGAGGACGCAGTATATTTTTTTATGTGTAGGGGACACATAAAAATATATATATAGTACATTGTGCACCAAGGGAGAAAAGTAGGACATTTCCTCTCGCGTGTAAAATTGCGGGCAAACACGCGGGATGAGATGTCCTATTTTTTTCCCGCGGTGCACATATTATTTTTTCTCCTACCAGGTCGAAAGTTCGTGGAGTACTGAGTCGCGGTCCAGGGGCGAAACCCTGGCCGGGGGTAGGGGGGGCGGAGCCCCCCCATACTCATGAAACAACAATTTAACTGTTTTTTCATTTTTAAATAAACTACTACTAATTGAATAAGAACTGTCTGATGAACTCATCTTTGTTTAATACTTCACTATTAAATTTTATTGCCTTTTGTTTATTTCATTTTTACACTAAACACATATATTGCAAATTACCCGAGCACAACAATGGCGGAGAATTTTAGGTGCGTGAGAGCAGACGTAGACACTAATGCGCATGCGCACTTGTCAGTACCCAGAGAAAACCGAACTTTCGGTGTAGGTAGGAGAAAAAATATATTGCGTCCTCTGAAATACGCACGCTAATACCTAAAAATGTAACATTTCAATGGAGTAATGATATCGTACGAAATCACTTTTTTGTTCAGCCATTTCCAACAAAATATCTACAGATGATACGAATCCTTCCTCTCCTGCTGATTATAAATGATTGCGTAATAGTTGACGTGAGACGTAACACAGATTTATCAACCGGCAAAACACATGTTGCGTGCAGCATCCTTGACTCTTGTCTTATCTAATTAACGCAACTCATTACTGATAGCTGATAACGTTGTCATTGATCTATTTGCATTCTCTCTGGTCATTATTTCTCTAATTAATTAGTAAACAAAGTATTTGTTAATTATCAGTAATTACGAGTACCTACCCTATGATCAAACAAGCACATATTTACTCGAGTGGTAATGCGTGCTGCGTGCGGCTGGGGTGGGAGGTGGTGCGGGGCGCGTGCACACACTCCAGCGAGGCTCAACACATACAGTCGGGCGCTCTGTTGGCGAGCGACGGAGCGACCTGAGCTCTTGTAGCGTATGATGCAGGCAGCGCTTGAGAACGCGCTCTACCAGCGAAGCGACGCCCGGATATCTCCTCTCAGCGGTCCAGAGACTCGACTCTATCAATCGTGTTGCCTAAGAAGCTTGGCATATTTATAAAATTTACATGTACATTACGTATGTAGTCTATTTACGCTACATAATGACGGTTACTCGTTGTATGAAGACCATAGACATTCTCACCACAATACGATACGTAGCACATGATGAGCGCAAGTCTCCGGGCCCTGTATAAGCGCCGCAAGACGCCACCGCTGGCTCAGCCTCCATGAGGAAACGAGCCACACGTCGCAGCAGGCACATACCGCAGTGCGTTACTTAGGCGCGGCGCCACACCCGGTACTCCCGGTCTGGCTTCAAAGAACACTTCGCTGCCGGAACCTTCGTTCAGTCGCGACGCATACATTAGCACCGGCTGTCCACCCGCAGCCTCACCCGCAGCCTCACTCGCGTAAATAACACTTGCAATAGCGTCCGCGTAGTCCCGCGCTCGGAANGTCGCAGCAAGCACATACCGCAGTGCGTTACTTAGGCGCGGCGCCACACCCGGTACTCCCGGTCTGGCTTCAAAGAACACTTCGCTGCCGGAACCTTCGTTCAGTCGCGACGCATACATTAGCACCGGCTGTCCACCCGCAGCCTCACCCGCAGCCTCACTCGCGTAAATAACACTTGCAATAGCGTCCGCGTAGTCCCGCGCTCGGAAGTGAGACAGGAGAGGAATGATAATTATAAATTACCGTATTTTATGATATATGGCAAAGACCAGGGTTCAGACCATTTCCATACACTACGTCAACGTCACGTCGTTTCAGTAGCTTAGGCGTGAAACCAACTTAAGAAATCCATTCCTCCAGAGGTGTGCAAACCAAAGTAAAAAGACAGACAGACATGACACACACATCTACATTTGCATGATTGAATCTGAATTCAGTTTAGAAATCCCAGCGCATTCCGACATAACCGTTCTGGGCTGGCTCCGTGCTCGTCGAAATTTTTCGAGTTTACTTTTAAACTGTTGAATAATAGATTACATAACAACTAATATTATTATGTAATATGAAATTATTTATTCAACTACTACCTGTTCATAGATTTAAGAAAACTGTCAAGGAACGTTTGTGCAACAAGGCATATTATAAAGTTATGGATTATTTACTAGATGGCACTACGTGGGAATGAGGCGCTCGCTCCTGGCCTTTTCATTCTTCATTATTATTATTATTATTTTTAATTGTATTTTTTGACTTGTTTTTTCCTTTATTGTAAATATTTTTATGTATTTAAAAAAAAGAAAATATTTGAGAAATAGCAAAAAAAAAAGCCCGCTGAGTTTGTTGTTGCGCCGGTTCTTCTCAGGACTGTGGCTTTTTTTGGAACCGGTGGTAGAGTTAACATTGTGTTTTATATTTTGATATTCAACAAGTGTGTCATGCTGACATCTAAGTTGAAATAAATGATTTTGAATTTGAATTTGAATTTGTTTGTCTGTCACGTTATCACGCCCAAGCCAATAAGCCGAGTTAGACGATACGCTGTAGGGGAATAATTAGAGCCCTGGGAGGGAATATGAGCTAGTTCCCAGTTCTGAGCCCGGCGCTGAGACAACGCGACAATAAGTGTGATCCAGCCGGGCCAAGCTGCGGCCGACAGCTACGTCTGTTGTCTGTGATGCAATTTTATGTAGGTAGTTCTTAACTGATCACAAAAAAAGATGTCTCAATTCGGACCGTATTATTCTTCTAGCCGCAACTCATACAAGTAATTAAGGCGGTGTGCGACGACGCGGCTGACCAGCAAATGTAATTATTTAACATTGCCACTTCAGTATGTGATTTGTATGCATAGTTGCGTTCGAGCGGAGGATTGTGGCCGATGAGCGCATCGTTAATTTGGAGCAGGAAGTGTCTGCGTCGCGGCCCCGAGTCCGCACCGAGGCACGTGACCAGCCGCCGCCGCGCCGCCGCCGCCGCACTGCTCCTCAACTCAGTAGTCGCCGCACGTTCCTCACTAGACACGATTCCAACCAACATTACTGACATACTGACGAACCCGACTCTGTCTGCCTCACTGTGTCAGTGCACTCATACAGTGCGACGCGCTGATCCACTAGAGTTTCCAAACTACTCCTTTGCATATATTTAGTTCTTACTGACATAATTCTAGGAAATGTTGTGGGCCTCCACCTGTTGGAGAGTGCATCACCACTGTTCTGCGCATATCTGCCGCGTACTGACACACAGTTGACGTTTCGATCTCATTTCTCAAGATGGGCAGCTGTGTCTATGAGCTTCTGTAAACGTTTGGCGGAGGTTTAGCAGACGGGACGTGGGTTCGTCTGTCGGCCGCCCCGCCCCGCCCCGCCCCGCCACGCACCGACCACAGAACGGCAACTGCAGGTGTAGGTACTCGTACATCGTACAAACACACAGACCGCTCACCCGGGCGTCACAATAGAGGTGGCAACGCAATGTTAATGGGCCACTGTGGTGTTGATCGCGTCTAATGTCGATGGTCCATTGTAATGGGCTACGGCCGCATTGTAAACACTATAATAACAAAGAAGGGACCTTCACGTGGCACCCTGTTTGGGCACTAGTCGTAGGGCTGACAGCACATCGTTACAAAACAATATTATACTAATTTAGCGTATGCTCGTTGTTGTCGCTTGTACACACATCACCACAGCGTGCACTCCGCCGTCCGTCGGAGACAGGGGCTGGAAGCCTCAACTGGATGGCTTGGCGACAGTCCCGCCCTACAAACGGACCGGTACTTCGCTGCTTGCGCGTACTTGCAGCGACAATAAGTAGGACGGTGGTACCTCTCCGGGCACACACACATGGCTCACCTGCACGCAAGATCTATTTTGCTCATGATTTTATTATATAACGTTGATCCTTCATCATGAAAACCGGTTGTGGACATGCGATGTGCTAGGTTAGTTAGTTGAACCAATATTGAAGGCGGGAGCATTAGCCCTGGCATAGTTGCAACCAATATTAATTTTGAGCCAGGACTAGGTGGTTGGTGCGGAGTGGGACAGCCCTGCGAGGCGCGGCGTGGCGGGGTGGGGAGGGGGAGGGCGCCGGCTCACAGCGCCTGCGCAGCTCGGTCCTCGCACCTGCCTCTCGCGGTACGTACCTAGCAGCCCTATTATCTGAACATACATTAACAATACATTAACTGTGTCAGCTCTAATTATTACTTAGTAAACAACATTTATTAATTGAACAAACATGCCCATTAACATTACAATAGAATTAAATCCTGTGTACATTTCTTTCACTTGAGACTCTTCCTGTTTACTAACATAAAAAAATATATAACACGAATGCTCTGCCTACAATGAACCTCTGCCTAATCACAAACATTTGTACTTGACATTCGGGACATTGTGATATGATAAGTGCTGGGTGGCCGTCTTCAAATATTGCGATACCTTAGACCCGCAAATCAAACCCACAAAATTATAATTTGCGTAATTACTGGTGGTAGGACCTTTTGTGAGTCCGCGCGGGTATGTACCACCACCCTGCCTATTCCTGCCGACTGCTTGAAGCAGTAATGCGTTTCGGTTTGAAGGGTGGGGCAGCCGTTGCAACTATACTGAGACCTTAGAACTTATATCTCAAGGTGGGTGGCGCATTTACGTTGCCGATGTCTATGGGCTCCAGTAATCACCTAACACCAGGTGAGCTGTGAGTTCGTCCACCCATATAAGCAATAAAAAAAAATCCCATTTAAGAGTGGATGGTATTTTAGCATGCCTGCTCAATCTGAATTTAGTGGAATTGTATGAGTAGTAGAATGTAAGTATACCTATATATATATATATATATATATATATATATATATATACTCGTAAATTATACAGTGATTTCATATTAACTGTAAACGGTATACTGTATGTATATTTATTGTATGTATGTATTTGCTTTAATAATGTATTATCAATAGTAGGTACACAGCAACACACTTGCTGAATGCATATCTTTTCAGATTTTCTGTAAATACTACTTTTGTCTGGACTCGGTTGTCTGGAGGAGGTCGCTTTTAGGGATAAGACCGCCTGTTGTACAACTATATCTGCTTGTTAACTGTTTTTTTTTAATGTTAATTGTGTTTTTGTGTGCGATAAAGTATATTCTCATTCTCTCAATAGTCTTGAATAATAAATAAACCTTAATGCCGCCACTCCTCTATGGGGTTGTATAATCGGCGTCTCCCCTTGAACCGCGGCGGACACGAGCAGAACCTGGTACTCAGGTCGCGTGTAGGGTGTAGGAGTGCGTGCGGCGTGCGTGGCGTGCCTGGCGCGGAGTGCGTGTGGCGTGGGTGCCGTTATCGCGCTGCAGTCAGGGCCGACTGCACCCGGATGCACGTTGTTTGTAAACAGGGCGCGGGCCGCAACAAGCCCTCGGGAGGAGGCCGGCCTTATCGCGCTCGTTATCAGCCGCGCCGGGTATATATAGCCCGTCCCGGCCGTAACCAGCACACACTCCTCTGTGTTGCAGTCCGGTTCGCATCTCCTCCGCACTCAGTCTCTCGACAGCACATCATGGCCGCCAAGTTCGTAGTTCTCTTCGCCTGCATCGCTCTGGTGAGTATCCTACGCAGCACATCTTCACTTGCTTCTCGAACGTTTCAATTGATTTCTTCCTGACGCAAATGCTATGATACTCAGGCCCAAGGAGCGATGGTGCGACGCGACGCTCCCGACTTCTTCAAGGACATCGAACACCACACCAAGGAGTTCCATAAGACTTTAGAACAACAGTTTAACTCGCTCACCAAGTCAAAGGACGCACAGGACTTCAGCAAGGCTTGGAAGGACGGCTCCGAGTCCGTGCTGCAACAGCTCAACGCCTTCGCCAAGAGTCTCCAGGGAGCGGTACGTCTCGGCCTGTTCCCTTGCCAAATCAAATACGTTCGACCTAGGTAATGTTGGGACTCTTCCACAGCTCGGAGACGCGAACGGCAANAACAGTTTAACTCGCTCACCAAGTCAAAGGACGCACAGGACTTCAGCAAGGCTTGGAAGGACGGCTCCGAGTCCGTGCTGCAACAGCTCAACGCCTTCGCCAAGAGTCTCCAGGGAGCGGTACGTCTCGGCCTGTTCCCTTGCCAAATCAAATACGTTCGACCTAGGTAATGTTGGGACTCTTCCACAGCTCGGAGACGCGAACGGCAAGGCCAAGGAGGCTTTGGAACAGTCGAGGCAGAACATCGAGCGCACGGCCGAGGAGCTCCGCAAGGCCCACCCTGACGTCGAGAAGAACGCCACCGCCCTCCGCGAGAAGCTGCAGGCCGCCGTGCAGAACACCGTGCAGGTATGTCGGCCCCTTCCCCTCGCCGCGCTCACTACCCTCTTCACGACGTAACGTAATACTTTGGGTAGGAACGGTCAGAGATTTAATCAATGCAAGGTCAGCGGGTTCGCGAGCCGCCCGTTACTACGACAGACCTTATCTGTGTCTTACCTCGCGTCATGTACGTGCCGCATTACTGTAGGCGCTCGCGTGCGGATCGACGCGTCTTATCTCGCCAATGTCCTTCACCTTGTGATACTCTCGTTATAGCCACGAACTGAACGACTTCGCGAGCCTGTTGCGGGACTTATCATTGCAATTCATTTCTACCTACTACCGTGCGATACTGCTATGAATTGATCAATAAAAATAAACTATTCCAGGAATCCCAGAAGTTAGCGAAGAAGGTGTCCTCGAACGTGCAGGAGACTAATGAGAAACTGGCGCCCAAGATCAAGGCCGCCTACGACGACTTCGCGAAGAACACCCAGGAGGTGATCAAGAAGATCCAGGAGGCCGCCAACGCCAAGCAGTGAGCGTCGATATTGAACTCTCACACTTAATAAATATTTCTTTCATATATTCCAAGTCTTCTTTATTTTTACAATCTCCCTGAACAAGAATCATAATTTAACCCGATCACAACGTATTCCAAATATAAAGAATATTTTTCATCAAAATGCCCAGAATAACAATACAAGTAAAGTTATGGAGGGTGAGTTCGTATGCGGCAGCAATGTCGCTGAGACGACTCACGACATTAATGACGTGTGCTAGCAGTGGCTTCAACGTTAGCATTAGAACAATATTGGTTAATTTGCGTCAAATTGACAAGGTAACAAAACTTGATAAATGGGTGAATATTTTGTTAGAATAAAATATACATATTTATAAAAAAAATACTTTCACTTTTTGTATAGTGATCTTTTGTTGTATAGTTTTGTATATAATAGTAATTTCGCAAGTACGGACACTCCCCCCCCCCCCCTCCCCCCTCCCCCTCTGTCTGTTCGTGGGTATCCTGAACTTGTTAAGCGCGTAGCTTGGTCGTTGTTGTGCCGGGCGACTTGAACAATCGTCCTTGCGTCGCTTGACAGACACAGAAACGAAGGGATCTTGAACCGCATTATCACTTGCGATTCATAATGGATTGTTTTTGATAATCGTAAGCGATCACCACTCTGACTCAGCACTCAGACAATGTCCCAAACCAAAACCTACTCTTAAAAAAGTCATGTACCAAATTTGGTGGTCTAGCATCGGTATAATTCATCACGGCTTCTTACTAAATGGCATCAGCATTACTACGGATGTGTACTGTGAGTATCTCCGGTCAGCATTGGTTAGCCTCTCGTCCCGCTGCTCCCACACGCTCCTATGTATAATGGTAATACTAGGGAAGTTCAAATAAAAAAAAAGTGTGTGTGTCCGCTCCGACGCACGACTGGAGTTTACTGGATATAAAAAATTAAACGAAACAATACGAGAAATAGTTCTATATTACGACAACACGATACACTACAGATTATTAACAAATTAACGAGACACAAAACAAACGACTAACAAATATATGAAAATACAATAATGAGAGAAACGCGCGATCAGTACGAGGCTTTGTGGCGGACTGCCGGCGCAGCAGCCCGGCGTCACCTGCGATAACGCATTTCGTGTGACATGCGCAATCAGGCGCATAACGCATTTCGTGTGACATGCTAGTACGATTTTGGTCCCCATAATTTTCATACCCCGGGCCTATATATGTAAATCGATTCTAAAGGAGTAAGTAAACTCCAAAAATTATAATGAGTATAACGCAATTATCTTTTGTTAAGTGTTATTTTATTCTTCGACGTAGTCACCTTTCGGCTTTAAAGGCTTCTAAATCTTTATTTTAAAGATATAGGTAGAAAGCACTAGCTAGCTTCTGGTTCTAAAGATTGTTCTTCTTTTAGATTCAGGAGCTAGGTTCGGTGAATATGGAGGATATTCAATTAATTCGAAGCCAGCTTCTTGAAAGGCAGCCATCTCAGCGCTGGACTTGTGTGCGGGTTCGTTATCTTGGTGTAACAAAACAACTTTAGCGAGCTTGCCACGCCATTGCTTACGTATTTCCTCACGCAACTTTGTTAATTGTTCTGCGTACAAAGTCCCCGCAATACTGGCTCCATGATTGAGGTATTCGATTATAACTACCCTTTGGCTGTTCCAGAAATACAGTCTATGGTCTTACCGACGGATGAAACTGCCTTCGGAGTTGGAGACGATGGTCCCTCCAAGCCCGGCTTTAACAGCATTAACAGCCTTTGTAGTTCTAACAGCACGAGGCCGCCCCGATCTTTTCTGGTCGTCGACAGACGAAATGTTGCTATATCTTTTTTTATTGCTTATATGGGTGGACGAGCTCACAGCCCACCTGGTGTTAAGTAGTTACTGGAGCCCATAGACATCCACAACGTACATGCGCCACCCACCTTAGAGATATACAAGTTCTAAGGTCTCATGTATAGTTATAACGGCTGCCCTACCCTTCAAACCGAAACGCATTACTGCTTCACGGCAGAAATAGGCAGGGTGGTGGTACCCACCCGCGCGGACTCACAAGAGGTCCTACCACCAGTAATTACGCAAATTATAATTTTGCGGGTTTCATTTTTATTACACAATGTTATTCCTTCACCGTGCAAGTCAAACGTGAACATTTGTTGAGTACGTCTTTCTTGCCTGCGGGATTCGAACACCGGTGCATCGCTTCAACACGAATGCACTGGACGTCTTATCCGTTAGGCCACGACGACTTCATCTGTTGTAGATACGGACATAGGACTGGTACCAAGCTTGAAGTGTCTGCAATATGATCGACGGCTCCATACCCACTTTGTGCAAGGCGATCACTGCAATCCTATTTTCTTTAACACCTCATTCCATTGTAATTTTATAATGAAAAAAATATCTGAAATGGGGAAAAATGGAAAGAAGTTTTTAAAAAAATACTTCGCTAAGCTTCGATCAATATTACTATTATTGATCTCATAGAGATCACTGAGACTCATAGATCATTTGATTAGGTAACATTTGACAATTCATCAAAATTCAACAACGTAACCTTGTAACGGCGCGGCGGCAGACAAAATAATATATTTGTTCGTTTTGTTAGAACTGCACACTTTCTTCAATTACGATTATATATTTATTATAATAATGACCGATATGAGTAATTTTACGAACTAATCTCACTAATAAACCATTCTAAACGTAGTAAACAATGTCTGATTATTTTTTTTATGATTGAAAGATTACTGTTTGCCCGGAAGTCTTTCCAGTTTCACCAGGACAGGTGGGCGAGCAAAGGCTCAGCCAGGAGGGGTGGGATTTGCTAACAACTGCCCGAGCGCCTCCGAAGGAGACCTAACAACTCAAAAGCAATTGCTTCGCGAATGAATCTACTACCGGATCGGAATCGCGACTCGCTGAGAAGATCCGGTGAGAAACTCAGCGGGCTGATGCATGCCGACGTCGACCTCTTTGTCGAGTTCGACGGGTACAGTTACCGGGGTCCCTAAGCCTGTTCCTAGTGTTAGAGTTGAAGACGTCAAATGCAAAGGTTATTGGATCTGATAGATCCGTAAGGACGTGTCTAAGACGTCGACGGTGACTGGCTCCTGCATGTCAGGATTCGGGGAGTAGTCAGCGGCGGCAACGATAAGGCGATTATCATGACGCATAGCTTATCGAGGTACCGTTCCGACGCTGACTTCATGTATTTCCGGATTGATTCGAGGCCCAGGTCGTCGTGTAGGTCAACGTTCCTCACGAACTACGAAGCCCCGACGGCTAACCTGCAAAAGCGGGATTGTAGGGATTGGAAGGTGTCTATATGTGTGTGGGCCGCGTGAGCGAACACCACAGGCCTTACGCAAGTTATGGTCCAGGAGCCAAGTACCTACAATTTCGGTCAATTATTTCCTCTCGAACGAAAGTTCGTAAAATGCATTAGGGACCTACACTATGAATACTCGCGACCGTCAGCTGCGACTCCGTGGGCGGGGCGTGCGGTGGCAGCCTCCCACGCATAGAGAAAAAAAGTTTTTTCAGTCATTTCCTCCCATTTCAAATTTTGTCAGATTATAGTTAACCTAGTATTTTGAAGGAAAAAAAAAGTCAGCTGGCCATAACATGGTGGATTATACGTTAGCTGACTGCTTGAACATGTAAAAAAAAATATTTTCAATGATTTCCTCTCAACAAAAAATTTACCTGGTTATGGTTTATATTCTACTATGAATTAAAATTAATTTAATAGCTTGCTGTATCTCAGTGGAAAGTTTGTCAGCTAGTACCTTGAAAGGTATAACACAGCAGCAACTATAACCTACTGAATCTTATCAGCTGACGACTTTTCCCTTGACTTACAGCTAGCTGATTTCTTTCATTATTTACTAGAGTATGTTAACACTCCTCTTATAAATTTTCGTCCGGGAGGAAATAACGTGATATTCCTAATGCGGGAAGAAATAAGCGGTGAGTTTCCCCTTTGAAATAACACTACGGTGCTTTTCGCTGGGTTGATGTCTATGCGCCATTTTCGGAACCACTGTCCGAGGTCAACGCTGCGCCCTGGAGTTTACTCGCGATTAGGGACTTGTTTCAACTTGAGTAGTAAACGGTTGTGTCGTCAGAAAATAAAGCTAGCTGGGTCGGCGGCGACCGGGGAATATCGTTACTAAATAAACTAAATAGGAGCGGAGAGAGAACGGAGCCTGGCGGGACTCCAGCCGTGAGTGGTCGCGGGGAGGAGCGGGTACCCTCGATTCGATATCGAAAAGAGCGGTTCGACAAGAAGTCCCGTATGATGAGCACGAGACTGTCCAGCACGCCCATGTTGAATAGTTTGAAAATGAAACCGGTGTGCCAGACTTTGTCGAACGCTTTTGCGAGTTCGGTTTTGGTCGGTTAAGCTCTACGAGAATGTGTTCCGTGAGGCGGTGCACCTGTTGTACGAGATTTGATCTACTGTATGAATTGATTTATGTTAAATTATTTTTATTTGTTACTTATTACTAAAAAACTAAATAGTGAAATCATTGATATTAGGTACAGTTTAGGTGCGATGTTTCTGGCAACACCAGTCTCTGTCGATGACACCAAGTCATGACGCAGTCTTTTGTCGTTGTCCGAAGCAGGGCCCTGAAACTGCGATAGTTTAAGACAAATATTTTTCTGTATGGAAACTAGCGATATCTTGTAACGGATGCCCCTAAAGTTATATGTTGTATAAAGTTAAGGCAGTAGTTATTGTATAACTAAACACAGAAAAAAAAACACGTCTTTATTTGTTATAGAGGAATTGATAAAATTTTATCTATTTGTGGTGTCTGAAAATTTAGAAAATCCTTCATTATAAATAAAATATAGGATAGGTGATATGTTACTGCCATCTACAGGACCAATGAGAAACTAATCGAAGCGAAGCCATCTAGAGGCCGACGCCGGTTTTTTTTTTTTTTTTTTTTTTTTGTTAACTGCTTGATTGGCTTATCTGTAACTAATGTATGTGTATCTATGGTGCGAAGCGACTGTGTGTGT